ACCCATTTGAAAACATTTCAAATTTTCACCATGTACTTATTGTCCGGGAAAGCATTGTGGAATATGCAGTAGTTGTAAAACAAGCAGTTGTGTCATCGAGAGAATTTGGCAACGTGACTTAGATACCCGGTGGGCGTGGCCAAAATAGGGCGAGGGCTTGACGTGGACGGATATAATTAGGCTTCAGCGCTTCTTCCTGAGCTTGGAGACGATAATTTCCTTCTTATTAAACAGCTGTGTGTTTCTACTGCTTGAACTAAGAAGTTCCGAGAGGAAGAATTGACGTTTAACGTTGCTGTTTAATAAGAAGGAAATTATCGTCTCCAAGCTCAGGAAGAAGCGCTGAAGCCTAATTATATCCGTCCACGTCAAGCCCTCGCCCTATTTTGGCCACGCCCACCGGGTATCTAAGTCACGTTGCCCTATTTCCTAGAGCGTAAGGTCAACATTCACATTCATTCTTAGATCGGTATCAATGAGAGGTATTTGGAAACCAAATGGGAGATCATTCTATGCAGAAAGATAGGAAAAGCGTTACCGTGTCGCGACCTTTCCCACAAGCTGTCGCGTGCGACCTTGCGAGCTGCACCTTGCACGCTACAAGATAAGATAAATCAGTGCTGACTCATTGGAATCGACTGCTCGAACCCTGGTCTCAACGGCAAGTAACTCGAAACAGGAACATCTCCGGCGCTAACGTGCGGGGAAGGGTACTAGCTGGCGACTGTATCCCTCTCATAATCGGGGCTAAGGCTTGTAGTTAACAGAGACTACGTCATCTCTGCTGGATGCAACCCTTTGGAGACTATGATCGTCTGCGCTCCAACCCTAGGTCTTTGTGAGGAAGGGATACGGAGATGCTGGCGAGTACCCCCGTCGTCAACGATTCTGTTATGACGCTTGTGCACGCGTGGGACACGCTAAGAATCGACTTCAGTAAAGATGCAGTGGAGCTGTTCTGAGACGAGACATGACGAACCGTTGGAAAAGATTTGTAGAGCAAAAAATTAATGGCTTACTTCCCGTCGGGGAAACCTACGTAGGCAATAATAATTACGGTAACTGCCAGCCGTACGCAATCACACACGGCGCGAAACAATGGCGGTTCGTCAATGTTTGCGGTGTGTTCCTTCGTGTTCTCTTTGCATTCCTTTTCTACCATGTTGTTATCTTCTCTTCTTCTTCTCGGAATAAACACGTTCTTGCCACTGACATAGTTAGAGGGGTCCATGGTTGTGGCGACTCTGGTGTTCACACTCTACCACTGAGCCTGGGAACCAGAATACACGATCCTGATGGATGAAGTGAAGCTGCCATTAGGACCCCTTTCATTTAGAGCATATCATGGCGTTGTGTAAAATTCCTGCTGGATAGGAACCTCACTCCTCTCCAATTTTCACCTTCAGCAAAACTCCATTCCACACGAATTTTTGCTGTCGAGCGAAGGGGGATGTAGATACCTACCCGTGAGCAATTAGAAAAGCGATTTCACGTCGTCGCCGACGAGGGGCAGGGAGAAAAATTCCGGGCCAAGTACGAGCGCTCCCCTCCTCTGCACCCAGTTAAGTCCCCGTTCTGTTTCTCACAGCGATGGTGAACCCTTCTTCCCTTTCAGTACCCATTTCTTCCTTCAAAGTCCGACTCTTCATTTTTCACTGTCCAGGGAGTAGGATAGAGGTGGGAGGATTTCGGCTCATCGGAGCTGGAAAGGTGATTAGCATTGCCTCGAAGTGCAAATCTTTCGAGACTGTTCGGCTTGGAAGGGGCATTTCGCACTTCTGCTAGTTCCTTTTTTCAGTTCATGTTAAATAAGAGTTCTCGCTTTGCTCCTATAAGCTCCTGTGAATCTGCGAAATGATGATAGCGAGCCAATTTGCGCTCGTAATATATTTCAGGCTCGTCTGGCGCGGGCACAATGTGTTAGATGAGCATTTGGTGCCCACCCAAGATGAACTGCACCTCTTTTTTTTGAGAGAACAGGGCGAAAAGTTGTATGTAGCTGCGTTTATATTGCGTGTCATCTTTTCTGAAGTACCTTATGACGGGGGTCTGTACGATCTTTCGTGGGTTGGCCGTACTGTTCAAGAGTAAAATGTTTATTTCCAATCTGAAAGGCTTGTTCTTTTAGTTACCGGGATGTTTGCGTAAAGGGATAGGGGAGGCGTAATGTGCACTTATGACGCTGAAACTTTCCAGGATAAAGAAATTTTATGGACATTTGAGACGGGGGGGAGGGTAGGAGATCTGGAGGGCGCGGTGGAATGGAACGGGTTATCCAGCCGTTTGTTGAATTGTTTCCTAAAGTACAGTCTTTGTTGTGGCGAATGCTGGGGAATTGCGGAGTTCTGGATTTGGCGGGGCACCAGCCTGTGCCCCACTAATTATAGCGGCTGCCAGGTTACCTTAGTTGGTGGAGAACAGTCTGGCGTCGCGCCAAACCCGCCTCTTCTCTCCCCTGAAACGTCATAGCGTCCGCAGCGAACAAAACTATATTCCGTCAGTGTTCGCTATGGCGAAAATAACACTGTTGAGCCTGCAATGGGTGAGGACATATGCAGCAGCTGAATAGCTTGAGGAAAATTTAGCGCGAGGGACAAATCACTTTCTTCAACGGTTGCAAATTGCGAGATAGGCTGGCATAAGGTTGTCTGGTTTAGCTTGGGATCGTCGAGTTTCTCATCGGCGTGGTGCGAGAAAGTAGAAGTCCACTAGATCTCAACGCTTTGTGCTCCTTCCAGTCCTCCCGAGGAAAAGTAATGTGGACGGCTCGGTGGACCTGTAAGCACCGCGGTAGGGAGCGCCTAGGCAGAAAAAGTAGTGTGGACGGCTCCAGCATTGAGGCTGTGTGAGCCAACCAGGACCAAAGGCAGGCCACATTGATCAGTCCACTCCGGATACCCAGCACGAGCGCATTTGTAGTTGGGAAACTTGCAGCGGAGGTATCGTATTTGGTCGCTGGAGAGAGATTCCCTACTTCACCTGAGAATTTTTTGAAGTTGATTTTCCTTTTTTTGCGTGCGCTATCCTCTCCGTTGAGAGCACTCATCCACAGAAGGGGCCAAAAAAAGTCACTTTGCTTCATTGACTTTCGAGGCGCTATAAGTTACACTTTATAAATTCTGATCGGACATTTCTACCACCATATTAAAGAGCATATAAATACTATTATGACACTCCGCCACAGCCTTCTGGACGAGCGCCATCGAGAGATTCTGGCGCGACCTGAGATCAGCGAGATAGTCGATTTCTCCGCCACCGTAGACCACCCTATTGAACTCCGCCCGAACCGGGTAATCTGAGGGGATTCAGGTCAGGTGACCTACTTGGATATTCCACGAAAATATTGGTCTTTCCATTCCAGGTGCGTCCGGTCCATACCATCAACCCGCGCCTTGGCGACTGCCGTGAAGATGATGTCCTAGACCGTAGCGACGTTGTCGGAGCTGCTCGATGTTGGAGGTCTTCCAGATTGAGAGTACTGGTCTCCAGGTAGCTACCCATGGGTGACTCCACACTAGAAGTTTCGCAGCTGTTTGGAGGTGACATGAATTCCAAAGGTCTTCTCCAGTCAGGCTGCGACTGGAGATGACTTCATATTTTGGTGTACATGAAGGTGATGGGCGAGGGCCAGCTCCTGCTTATCGAGGAACATCTTGGGTATCTTCCGCCCTGGTACTCGTATCCACGTCTTCTCTCTGGGCTGCGAAAACTTTGCTGATATGTGACTCGGTCGAAGTGACTTTTTTTTTGCCCCCCCCCCCTGTAGAAGGGGGAGGTCATAACTTTCTCGTCGTTGTGTGAAGAGGGTCGTATCTGGCGAAAAGAAAGTTTTTCCCGAGCGCAAAAATTTTTTCCGGTTGCGTCATGAATTCCCCTCTCTAATTGGTGGCGCAGTCTAAGTTCTATACAACTAATATTTTCGATAGTTGGATTCATCAGTTGACTGGAGATGACCTCCACCCCTCCCCCGTGCCTTCTCCGCTCGACGGCGGCTTTTGGGGGAACAAGAAAATTTTTTTGAAAGTTGGGAAAAGTAGTAGGAAGCTGGGAA